TCCTTTTTGAGTATTCTATACCAATTCCTTGCATGTAGAATCTTATAAACATGTTTTGTAGGGTCTTGACATCCTGGTAATTAATACAGGGAGAATCCATCAGTAATGAAGAGATTAGATAGGATGTTTTAAATTGAGTTTTGGTGACTTAGGGCACACTTGTATTCTGAAAGTTGAAGAGTATTAAAGCAAAAAATAATGTTGGGAGATGTGGTGGCTTGAAAGAAAATGGCCCCAAAGGGAGTGGGACTATTGAGATGTGGCTTTGTCAGAAGACTTTGAGGTTTCCTATGCTCAAGATACTACCCAGAGTTTCAGTTGACTTCTTGTTCCTTGCAAACCAAGATGTAGCCAGCACCATCTCTGCCTGCATGCTGCCAGGCTCTCTGCCATGATGATAATGGACTAGACCCCTGAAACTGTAAGCAAGCCACCCCAATTAAGCGTTTTTCTTTATAAGAGTTGCCATGTTCAAAGTGTCTATTCACAGCAATAAACACCCTAAGATAGGAGATAAATGTTCAAGTAAAGAAAGTTGAGTTGTAGACTAGAAGATGATAATGAAGGTCATTCAGATTGCAAATGTGGGTCCAAGTTGCAAATACAGATTGGCTTGACTCATGGGCTACACAATCTTCTGTGCTCACTGCTCTTCACATTATCAGAGGATAACTTAGAAGGACCCACAGAACCTGTGCAGAAAACCCAACTCCCTCTTCCGAGGCAGAGCAAATTGAACCCCAGAGATGTAGAAAATCTTAGCTTAATCACAGGACTGACTGGTTGGAGAACCACACTTAAAAGCTCGTGTAGTCCTGACAGACTACCAACAATTTCCAGCCTGTCTTTCTTCCTTCTCATGCCTAATGCCTCATCTAGAGAGAATAAAGCTATTCCAGGAATGCAGGCTGGTTTGGTGTCATGGGTGAGACACCAAAAAACACTTGGTGCTTATTGTTTGTATTAAAAACAGCCAACTGCAGAGTATTACTTCCTGACTCTTCTTGGCTGCTTCCCAGATCCAATTCAGTGACAGCTCCAGGCTTTCAGTGCTAGTGGCAACCAATGCTTCTAACCTTCAGAAGAAAGATGTTATGCAAACACCAGAAGACTTTAGTGAGATTCAAAATCTGTACTTGATGATCATGAATCGTAAGGTTCACAGAAGCTGAAGTAACAAACACGGACTGTGTATGGGTTTGAGCTAGATCCTCTGAATATACCTTATAGTGAGTAGTTTTGTGTTTTTATGGGACTCCCAACAATGGGAGTGAGGGTGTCTCTGAATCTTTGCCTTTTCTTCCTGCTGGGTTGCTGTGTCCAGCATGATTACAAGGGTCTTACTGTATCTTGTTAGGCCCTGTGCAATGGATATCCCTGTGAGGCCTGCTTTTTTTGGGAAGAAAGGGAAACAGAAGTTGATCTGAGGGAATGGGAGGGAAACTGGGAGGAGTGGACAGAGGTGGAACTGCTTTCAGGATGCAATATACAGTCAAAGAATAAGGATTTTAAAAGTCTGTAGTAGAGGCAGGAGGATCTCTGTGAGTTCGAGACCAGCCTGGTCTACAAAAGCTAGTTCCAGGACAGCCTCCAAAGCCACAGAGAAACCCTGTCTTTAAAAACAAAACAAACAAACAAAACACCCCAAAAAAACAAAAACAAAAAACCAAAACAAAACAAAACTGTACTAGATAGTTCACAGAAAATATAACTATCAAGAAATTAGAGCCAACATGTGATTAAACACAGTGAGCTGATATGGCCATGAGGAGAGAGACCAGCAAGGTCATTGCTCTTTCTATATCCTTCATGGAAACATGCCTACTCCATGCTTAATGCTTCGTAGAGATAAAATCCTATTATTTATTCCTAGAACCAACAGCAGGAAATGACCCTAAGGTACTACCGTCTCTTAATTATCTTCTTCTTGGAATATTGTTCTCCTTTGTTTCCATACTCCCAAGTTCTGAACTGGGCCTTGCTCACCATTAAGACTGTCTTTTACTGGCAGAGAGAAATCAAGAAGGGAAAGACAAGACAGCTGCCTCTACTGCTGCTGACTACAAACTAGGCAGGCTCTTTAGTCTCTCCAGTTCCCTTAGCCTCTTTCTCTTTATGTCAGTAATGAATGTATTAGGCTAGCTAACCTCTACAAAACTTCCCATTCTAAGAGTACAGTCCTCTATCTTTCCATTGCTTAATTTGTAAGACTTACTTCTCCCAAAGGATATTTTAGCTTCCATGGGGAACATAGTAACAAAAAAGACTTTTCTTAAAATTCACGACAAACCTACCTGATGAAATTATAGACTTTAGGGCAGAATATCATGTAGGCAGAATATTCTACTGGCAAGGCAACTCTGCTTATCATGAACTACTGTTCTCATACTTTTGAAAAGAAGCCAAGGACAGGATCTGAATAATATGTGATACCCAATATTGTGAGTTCATTTATGTTTTAGGCAGTATATCATCCAGTACATTTATGGAGCACAGCATTATATTGTTAGCAGCAGGTATTAAATATATTATTTAGTATTAGAGGTATTAGTCTTGAGCATTATGGAAGATTAGCATTTGATGTATTAGTTCTTTGAGGTTGCAATTAAGGCTTGGATTCCTGATTGGTATTATCCAGTTCATGGTAGTAACTGAATTGTGATTTAGCTTTAATTCCACAACGAGTTTACCAACATTGACAACCCAGTACTAATTAATGACAATTCTTTATTTGCAAATGTGTCTGAGAATAGATGGCTCACATGTTCGATTATCATAGAATTTACAGCTGAAAACTTCAATATGGGCATCCTTTCCTTAATGAATTTCACAGCCTAGTTTTATGAAAAACTCTTAAGCTTAACTAAGTTTCAACCTTCTTAAGTTTCCTCTTAAGCAATGGTTCTCAACCTTCTGAAATTTGCAACCCATTAATATTATTCCTCATGGGTGCTGTGGTGACCCCCAATCATGAAATCATTTCATTGTTATGTCATAACTGTAACTTTGCTACTGTTAAGAATCATTATGTAAATATCTAATACTCAGGACCTCTAATGTATGACCTCCCCCAAAGGGGTCATGACCCACAGGTTGAGAACCACTGCTGTTAAGGGGCTTTGCCTACCTACTATGCCCATTCCTTATTTCTTTCTGCCTTCTAGGAGTGAAATCTTTGGTCTGCTGCTTTAATCCAAGCTCTTTTATACTAGGCACTCAATGGTACTCCATCACAGTTCCAAAACCAGTGACTAGGCAAAGTATGAAAATGTCTACTGTTATCCTTAGTGTTCATCCAGACTTCTGTCATTGTTCTTACACCTGAGATCAAAGAGCACTGATACAGTATAGAACTTTTAGATGTACTTGATACTCTCACCTTCACAGTTCAAAGCATTCAGCAGGCAAGGAATGAAATCTCTATAATAGGTAAATATGTCCCTAAAGCCACAACATCTCACCCTATCAAACTTACAGGTTCCCAAGATGTCCTTCATCTCTCAAATAAGAACATCCTTTCTAAAAACGCTGTAGCCCATTTTAATCTGATTTAGGGGCATAGGGCTGAGGTTTCTTAGCCCTCAGCACAATGGTAGGATTGACCCAAGGGGAACCTATATCTTGTGTGCTGATTCACTTCCTACAGAGGCAATCATGTCCCGCTGCCAGGGCTCCACACTGCTAACTTTATGCACAGTAGATTCCCAATTTCTCTCTTCCCACTCTGAGTTTTGCTATTCACAGCAGGCTGACAATTTGCCACATAAAAAGTGTGCCCATAATTTATGAGTGGAAGTTTCTGTCCACCCACTCCTACAGAATGTAGACAGGATCATTTGGAGTGCTAAAAGCAGACTCCTCTGTCTGCCTTACACCTCTCAAAGCCCATCCTTGGCATATATCAAAGTCTCTCTGACATTTGCAACCCTCATCTCACCAAGAGGTACCTCTCAGCACTCCCATTGATGAAGATGTCTTCTGTTTGTTCTGTTTCCGGCAGCTGAGAAGCTTGGTATAAACCCCAATTATCAAGCAATTTTTTTGAACTAGGACTGGCTAGCCTATAACTGTCCTCACCCTCAATCCTCCCAGCATTCTAGATTTAAAGCCTTCAGGGAGGTTGCGAAGAAGTGACTTGGGGCACTTACCTGCCATGGATTTGTTGTTGTTGTTATTGATTAAATGTAGCATCAAATTCTTCTATATGCAACAATGAACATAAAAGACTCTTGGGGAGATGGGACTATTTTATCATTGCTTTCCATTTCATTTTCTACTAACCAAGATGTACCATGACTACAGATTGAGATATTTAGTATTTCTGTGATTTTCTCTGAATAAAAATAGGGCTGTCATACTTACACACTGCACTTAGAACATGAGACATGTGGACAGAGAAGTGGTTGTCTACATAATACTCTATTAGGTGATGTCCTACAGTTATGACGGGCACTAAGCTGAGAAGCATGTGTTGACTGTCTATTATATGTATGTTGGGGAAGTGACACATTTGTATCTTTGTCAATTTCCTTAAAGCACTATCTCAGACCATGATATGTAGAACAAGGGAGGGTATTCTGCTGCCCATATGACAGGAGAGCCCATTTCTGCAGGTTTCAGGTTAAGACTGCAACTTCTTGTGAGTAAGAACTTCCAATCCTCTGACATGATAATGGGATATTCTGGTGCCAGGGCCCATGCTGACACTCTATGAGAGTTCTACTCCATTTCCATTTAATTTTTCCCTCCCTTCTTTTCTCTGAAACACACACACACACATACACACACACACACACACTTCATACCTGAGCTAACACAGGCACAAATGAATGCATACATACACTAATCAACCAGCCTCCCACATCCATGTACATCATCTGTGAACACTCCTCTCAGATACAGGATAATAATAATAATAATATTATTAAACAACATTCAGGCAACCCAAGGAACTATGTTTTCTTTTCTCTCTCACTTGCCACTAAAAAGGGTCTTTAAAATGCATTAAATCAAGTAAAACTTTACTCAGAGGTTCATGTGACTGGAGCAGGTTGACAAGAAAAACAATCACAAAATAAATATTTTTTGTTTTGGTGTTTCTTAGAAAAGAACATTTCCGTATACATTGTCTCTAACTTGACAAAACTGCTTCCTTGGACGGACAGGTCAGGTGCTGCAGGAGGAGGGCTCTGGATGAAGTATGAGGGACTCTTGGAACAAGTCAAAACTCTGAAGCTGGGGAGGCCAGGGGAATGGGGGGCTGGCAGGAGAAAGAAGTGAGGGATGAGCAAGGAGGCTGTGGCCTGCCCTTGGTTTTGGTCCCTCTGCTGTAGCACTGCACATACATTCTAAGGAAGTGGCACCAAAAGCTGTCAGCCCATGGCCTCTGGGGTGCAGGAAGGCAGTATACAAAAAGTAAGAACTGATGCAGGGGGTCACAGAACAACAACATTTTAAGAAATCTGGGTAAAAAGAATACAAAAGTGACTCCACAGAGGGGAGGTCTCCCACCCCTCCCACTTTTGTCCCCTTTTGCTATCCTGGGTGACAAGAATCATTTTGAAGCATGTTCACTCATTTCTTTCACGATTTAGCTGCTTCTTTTATCCCTTCCTTGGCTCTTCTTCAAAACATTCATTCTAGAGAGCACCAGCTTCACAGATCCCAGGCTGCTGAGCTGTGGCCTCCCTGTGAGGGGGGGCAGGGGGTTGCAATCACGTGTGCACATATGCAGTCACGTGTGCACATATGCAATCACATGTGCACATATGCAGTAGCTGTTTATTGTCTCTCGCCTGCTTCAGTCTAGGCCTTGAGCTCCCATCTCCCAGGTGCTGAAAGTCTCATGGAAGCACCCTGTTGGCACTGAGGTGAGGGCTCGGATTATCTTTGCACCCTGAATGTGTGGGTCAACTCTCTGACCAGCGCTGGGGTCGTTGCCCCATTAGCTACAGAGTTTGCCTGTCTCATACTCCACAGGATTTGGCAGCTTGGAATTGAAGGCTCTCAGGGAGGATTGGATCCTGCCCACTTCATTGTTGGCTAGTTTGAGTCTGTGCCGGAGCAAGCAGGAGAAAAGATCAAGCCGGACTTTGCCAGGTGGAGAGAGTTGGTTCACCCGGTCTCTGAGCTCAATGAGTTGTAAGAGTGCCGAGTCCTGGGAACCTTGAGTATACGGGTAGTCCAACTGGAGAATTAAGTCTCGGATAGCATCTGGATCAAAGGGCAGACTGTAGCCAAAGACCTGCAAAGTGTTGATTTTCATGTAGCCCAAATTCTTGGAGGGATCAGTCATCTCCAGGGGCTCATAGTAGATTGTCTCATTGGAGCTGTCATCCAGAGACTTGATTCGGCTCCTTAGGTAAACATGGACTGTCTCAAAAAAAGTCTTCCACCTGTTCCCCAAAGTGATAGTCCAGTTTTGGCACTGGGCAGCTGCATCCACGTTAGTCCTTTCCCAGTCAGGAAAGTTGCCCTCATTTACAGGCATGAACCAGCTCTCAGAGTGGCTGCCCCCGAAGGGGTTGACATAGATGGCCATGACTGGCTCCAGGGTGCTGTTCTTACTGAGGCAGATCTGCAAGGACAAAGCCAACATCACGTGCACCAGCCCAGGCTTGTACTTGTTGCTCTTCAGAGTGAGCAGCATCCGCTTCCTCCAGGAAGGGTCAAACCAGCTGCCCAGACGCATGTCGTTGCTGATGAAGATAGAGTGTACCTCAATGCGGCTATCTCGCTTCTGAAGCAGGTACTTCAGCTCCAAGTCCTGAAGGTCTGTCTCCAGCCCTAGAAAATTCTCCAGGGACTCAGCTACCTCTGGCCGGCACAGTCCCTGGGCCAGCACGTAACCAGGGTTACAGCTCCCACAGCGAGTACTATTGTCTGAAGCGCAGTGGGCACAGGCAGACCCTTCGCCCAAGGCACATGGGATGGGGCCCTGGCAGGAAGATTGGTCATAGGGACAGGTGCAGCTGTGGCTCTGTTCCAAGAAGGTCCCAGGGAGGGTGCTTTCTCCACAGTAGAGAAGGGATTGGATTCGGTTCCACCAGAAAGACAGGGATCTTGAAGCAATAAAACAAACAAGGAAGAGTCAAAGAAAGTTGCCACTGTCCTCCCTACAAGTATTAGCTCACTGACTAATAAATGGGGCGCAGACAGCAGGGAGACAAGGGAACCATCAAGGCCACAAGCTCACTGTGTGGTGAAAACCCTGGTGCTCCCCTTTGGACCAACTGAGTTAATCCTGGAACTCTGTCTGGTAGACAAGCCAGAAAGATTTGATATCAGGTGTGTCTTGGAATCAACCAGGCTAATTTTTTCAGGTCGTTTCCCCTTTCAAAACTGGAGTCTTTTCAATGTGTCGAATCACACCTACCTTTTTAGCCTTCCCTATAACATAGTTCTTCAGACAGTTTATGTTTTTGCCAAGTTCATGCTCACCTAAAAGCCTCTCCTTATTTTCTGTTCTCCCTTTCTTACAGGAAGACTTGGAACATCTTGTGGGTTACTTAGACTTTGGATTTTAATCCTTAGCTACCTCTTCAAATGGGCTATTCCCAGTGTCTCCTCCAAAGGGCAACTCTAGTCACTGTCTCATCACTGTGTTCTGCATTAACCCATGGCAACCATCTGTGTATAGAATGATGATTGCTTTATGGAGCACTTATTTACAGCTGGCTTCCCCGGAAGTGCAGTGAGAACAGGGCTTCTGGGTTCTGTGCTGTCCACCAACTCAGTTTTAGGGAGCAAGCTTGTTTCTTATTCATGATAGGCATTTAATAATTAGTTGCTAAAAAATAAAAAATAAAAAGAAGCATCTTACCAAACCCTGCTGGTCTGTCTTCTCCACCCCTGCTCCCTGCCTTCCCTGAGGCTCAGTCGGTGACATGGCTGGGCTGCTTTGAGAGCAGCACACTGCTCAGAGCACTTCTGCACTTACAGATTCCAGGTGGTCCTGTCTTTTCTTGCACAAGCTGTGCAAGATTTCCTTTTCTTAGGAGGTTTCTCTCCTCAGTCTCGTCTCTGCCTCTTGGGAACTATCCTTTTCTATGTTTTTGTTTCTTTTTTAAATTCATGTCCTTTTGATTGGTGTTCTACCCCCATTAATTTTGGGGACTAACACAGTCAGGATTTTAAATTTTTTGTCTTTACATGTTTGCTAAATCTAACTTTGTCAATGGTATCCTCTAGAGTTAAATAGCAGGGCATGGAAAATAGGTGTAATATATTTTAATGAATGCATGTATGAAGGAGTGAGTAAATAAGTGAATTCCTATCACAATACACTCCTAGCGGTTTGGGAGAGTTCAGGTCTCAGTTTCCTTCCCTCCTATGGCTCAGACAAGTGATGAGAGGCACTTGTTTGAAACAGTCTAGAGTGCTTATTTCTCATCATTTGTTTGAACTCAACCCTTTTCCTCACTAGAAGACTTACAAAACTGGGAAGGAATAAGTGAGAATTTGGGTGTTACTAGACTAGCATTTGAATCTACTATAATTACATAAAAGTAACACAGGGCTCCCGTAACTTCTTTATACACAGCTGGTGATTGAAAGTGACAAGTAGGGAGGCCAAAGTTACATAACCAGGATGACTTAACATGTCACCACTTTCTCGTCTTCCATGTTGACCACAGTACCGTCCTTGGCCTCAGCAGCTATGTCCAGGAGGTGCTGGGTCTTGGACCTGACGCCTGGGTGCTCACCTCTCTTTGGGCAGGCGGAAGCGAGGCTGCCGGTGGCAGCGCTTGCAGAGATTGAAGAGGCGGCGGACTATCCGCTGCATCTTCTTTAACAGGACTTTCAGGCTGGCTCCCAGCTGCTGGTAGCGGTGCTGGACGTTAGTGTCCATGGTCCAGTACTGGGAGATGGCTGTGGAGTTCAGGAATCGGTCACTGGGCAGCCTCTTCAGCAGGGCCTGGAACTCTTCTGTGGGCAGAAATACAGGAACTGAGCAGAATGAAGCTACATAGAGTACTGGGAACACAGATCCCTGCTTCCTTTGTCCCAGGGGCCCCTCAGAGTCACTGCCTAAGGAAGGGGCCTCACATTCATTGTACTAGCTTTCAAATTTACACATGGCTTTATTGGAAATTAATTAACATATCATAAAATGTAGCTCTAGGATTCTTTTTTAAGAATTCATTCATTTTTAGAATTTTATTTGTGTGTGTGTGTGTGTATGTGTGTGTGTTGTGTTGTGTGATACATGTATGTAGGTGTCCACAGGACCAGAAAAGGGGCAGATCTCCTAGAACTGTAATTAGAGGCACTTGTGAATGACCCAACATGGTAACAGGAAACCAAGTTTAGGTCATTTGGAAGAGCAGGACCATGCTCTTAACTACTGAGTCATCTCTGCACCTCTAGCTTCTGAGGTGTTTTTGTTTTTTGTTCTTATTCCAGTAAATCTTCAGTTACCAAAACTGATATCTGTCACTCCTCAAATGGCTAGAAGTCCTGCTTTTAATAATAGCCTTGTTTCGTGTCTCTTTCTTTTTCTTCTCCGTATAACTTACTCATGGACTATATTTTAGTTTTTCCTCATATACCATATGCTGATTACTGCTTTCCCTGTCTACTCCTCCCACTTTGTCTCCTCATCCCCTCCCACCCTGATCCACTCCCTTTCTGTCTCTCTCAGACAAATTTCTTTAATACTACCACGACTCTCCAGTGAAAGAGGTAAACAGGTTCAATGACAGGCAAATGTTGACACAGAGAAGGCACTGTACCCAGCTCATAAATCTTAGAAACATTTAACCCTTGAGCCTAGTCTCTCCCTCCAGAGCCTACTGCCTGATTCTCCAAGGTACTCCTGCTCTCTGGGACTCCTAGTCACAAAGGCATTCTTCCCTGTAGCTAATATAGAAGCAACATTATTTCTGCTTCTGAACTCTAAGTAAGAGTTCTTTTGAATGTCCTGGGTATAGTATGATTTTGAACTCATGCTCAAGTTTCTCTTCTCTGCTTTGCCTTGGGACTTACCACCACCTTACCACCTGGCACAGGTCTATGGCATTCTCATCTATTCAACTGTAGAATCTCACAGTGGCAAAAGCTAAAGCTGTATTGTAAAATATATCCAAAGCATGGAATTGGGAACTGGAACTAGATTTTGTTTTAATAGCCGCTTGTATCAACCTGTTGCTATCACTTTTAATGATGAGGATATTATAGCATTGAGAAACTACATGGTTATAACAAAATGGGAAAGTTGGTCAGTAATAGAGCAAGAAGCAAACTAATCCTTCAGACTCTAGGTCTTAAGTTGACATTGATAATTCGCTATGTCAGCAACAAACAACATTTGGTTTCTACTGGGTACCAACTAGACCATTCTATACATACTTCATATCAGTAAACATTTATCATGTGCAAGCACTGTGCTAGACACCATGAACTCAGTAGCCAGCAAGACAGACAATGATACTTATACTCTCAATAGTATTTTCCTTAGCTAATTAAGTCCTTAACACACACATTTAAGTTAGGCACTGTGATTATTTGTATGAAGAAAAACACACTCTTAAGACTCTTGGTGACCATATAGTCAATCTTTCCTTAGAAGTTCACAAAAAGAATAAGTTGGGATACAAGTCAGATTCCTTGTGTTCTAGCCTCTCACATCCTCAACTCTTCAGTGGGGAAAAATTCTGAGCTTACCTGACTCTTCAAACTGCCTATTGTGAGTGGCCCAGGAGTCTTGGATCTGCAGCAAGCTGTCTTCCATGGCCTGGATGTCAGCATCAGGACAGTTGCATTCTGGGAAAGTGGGACCACACTTGCACCAGCAGTCATTCTCCCTGCAGACAAGCTCACCCTCAGAGCTGCATGTGATGTAGCTAAGTGCTGCAGCCACAAAACGCTCACGCAGGTGTTCGGGAAGCAGCACCTGCAGGCCTGGGAGAGGATGAATCAAGCAATCACTGAGCAGAACCAGTGGGGACTCAGTTTCTCACACCCAAGGCAATAGGAATCCAAACAGGGGTTTTGCTGACTGGGACTGAGAATGGTCACCCCAGGGTCCAATACTGCTGAGCTGCTTGGGAGAGAGGGTTTTTCTAGCCTCCATAACAGATGGGGGAGGATCTGAATATGCAGATGAGGAACATCAAAGCCCAAGGCTTAGCCAAACTCCTCACATCAGCCAAATTGAGAGCCTGCATATCATAAGAGCAGGCTTACTGGCTACACATCAGCATTTCTAGGAGAGAAACAGGAAGATGTTTCAGATAAAATAAGATCTTAATGCCCTCCTGGGGAGATAGCAAGGCTTGATGAGCTTGCCCTGCCTCCAATAGCTGCCCTTCTTATACTTACACAAAAGTTGGCAGAAGACATGTTCAACCATTGCTAAATGCTAACCTCCCATTCCAGCCTAGATAGCTGAAACTATTCTGGTAATGAGATAGGGATAGGCAGAACAGTCATACAGTAGCCAGGTACTAAACAAAGATATATATAGTTTGTAGTGGCTCTGAGGGTCATCTCTGTCCTAGAGGTGGTGTTGCTGGTGTTTTATTTTGTTCCCTGAACCAACAGGGTTCATATTCCTTATATTGTTGATAGATTCTGATCCTCCTGCCTCTGCCCCACTAAGTGCTGGGATTATCAGTGTGTGTCACCATATCTAATTTCATAATGATGTTGTTTTAATGAGAAAATAAAAGCCACAACGCCACAGTGACCCACTCAAGTCACAGCCTTAGTGTCAATAACTGCCTTTGTTTCACCAGGTGATACTGCACACTTGGCAATGGTTGCCTACCTCAGTGTAATTTAACTCTTTTGTGTGTGTGCGTGTGTGTGTGTGTGTGTGTGTGTGTGTGTGTGTGTGTGTGTGTTTTGTCTTGATTTGACAGGACTCCTCTATGTAGTCCTGGCTGTCCTGGAACTCACTTTGTCTTGAAATCACAGATATCTACTTGCTTCTGCCTCTTAAGTGCTGGCATTTAAGGTGTGTGCCACTACTGCCCAGCTAATTTAACTCTTAAGAAAATATTAATATAGGATGATTGACTGCCTCAACATTCATCGGGTCATCAGGCCAGGATAGGGACTGACTTCAAGCCATGGGTAAGGTGGCTGTTGGAAGCATAGGAAGGATGAAGGAAAAACAGATATGAATTATGGCTGAATTGAGTGTGGGTCAGTTCTTCAGGAGGCCCTTCCAGTAGGCATATTATTAGACCTTCTGTCAGGAGAATGAGGTATGGAAGGACCCCTGAATATGAGGAGCCCCTTTCTTCAAATATATGCTCTTTATTTCCACATCCATGACTTTGTCCTTGGCAGAATATCAAAGAGCTCACAGTGTGAGTCCCAACCTCAGCAGACCTCACACTATAACTTAAAGTTGTCAGCAGTGTGGATATTTTCTGTTCTCACTCGGGGTCCACCTCCTACTCTTACTGGTACTAAATTTCTTTTTCTTGATTCTGTGCCCACTATGACACTTGACAGTCCCTTGCCATCCCTGCTCAACACACACACACCGCATCCACATGCTCGCTTTCAACACTTATGGTCTTCAAGTGGTCTCCTTCCATCTCCCCGTTGCCTCCCTCCTCTTCACCAGAACATTTCACAGTGCTATAAAGTAAGTGCCCTGAGCAATGTCTTTGTGAGTGATGGCCTATAAAATTAAATGGCATAAACTATTCCAAATGAACCACTAGACATTTTGAGCTTAACTCACTGCTAATTTCCAAACACAAATCCAGCTTGTATAGGGATACAGGAAAGGAGATATTAAGTATATTGGGTGTCTATTAGTAGGTTTTTTTTTTACTCCTCTTGTTGTATATTTGTTAATTCCTAAAGCAATGTCAGTTGCCTCTGGCTCAGATTGCTTGAAATTTGTAATCGTAGATCCTGGGTGATGGCTATTGATTTTGTGATGGTGGGACAGTAATATCTTAAACAGAGGCAGATGCAGTTAGCTCTTAGGAAAAATGAACTTCTTTCTCTAATGAATCAGTTTGCATAGCTCTTCCTTTAAAACATTTGAGGAACAGATGGAACTAAGCATCTCTATTTGTCCCCCATTCTTTGGACCTACAACAGTGGCCTTTTCTTTTTCTTTTCCTCCTTTGCCCATTCTATCTATAGTCCAAATGTTCCTGTTCATTCCTCTCCAATGTTGCTCCTGGCTTTGAGTTTCTCGGCTCTCACAGAAAACCACAGGCATGGAATTGAAAGCAAGAGCCACTCACTCTTCTGCTGTGGTTACAGATCAGTAGGATGCAAAGTTTGAGCTAGAGTGAGCCCTACTAGTGAGCCCACAGTTACTATGCAAAGCCCACTTGTTCCTTAATATGCCTTTGGTAACCAAAGTAATCATTGAATTAGCTCCAGGTTTACAAGGTTGTGTGTATGATCCCTACAGGATAATGATACAGGTTTTGAAAAGGAACACAATGGAAAGGGCAGGAGCAATGGGTAATGGGTGTGTGGCAAATCCTCAGAAGTCCCCCCCCAAAAAATTGAAGGTAAGTTGCTACATGCAGTTCCTAAGATTTGTGGAGATTCTTGTCTTAAGAAGGACTTAGCTGAAGCAGGTCAGCATAAACTTAATAGCCCAGGACTCTACTTGTTTGGAGATGTGTACACACTTCTATTTGAAATCAACAGCAGCCTAGGTCTTTTATATGTAAATGATTTACACTCACTCCCTACCTCAAACAATGCACCTAGCAAGTGTTAGCAACCTAGAACACCCCCTTCTGCTAAGAACTGCATGTACACCCTGATGTGAACCATGGAGCGTGTTTTCTTCCTCTTTACAAACATCAGATTGCATTTTATTCAAATGTACTTTACTATGTCCAGGTATGAAGCTGGGGGAACAATGTGACCTAGACTGGTTTTGAACATATGTGCAATAAGCTAAAACTGTGTCCCTAAGTTTTAGGGACACCAAATTATTTACCATCCTATGTATGCCTCTGCAAAACTGGGTGCACATTTGACTAAAATTACATGTCTTATGAGAACGAACATGCATGGTGAAAATAATGGTTATTGAATTTAATCTGTGTACGTAAGTAGAGAACCATCCAAACTCTGTCCTAAATAACTAGCTCCTCCTTCTCTTGAATACCATAAAAGGAAGACCCATACAATAATCTGGGTCCTTGAGTACCTTCACTTATATATCTTGCTGCCAGTTCTGATAGTATATTTCTGATCTGTACTATTGGTTTGCTTTGAATAAAGTTACTTTGCCCTTATTTTGGCACTATAACTAAGAGGCCACGAGTCTGGAGACATCCATCACAGACCCACCCTGATCCCCGATAACATATTCAAATGAGAAAATGAGATCTTTCCTTTCTCTTCTGGGGTTCGGGTTTTCCACCAGGCCTGAGCAGTGTGGAACCACCATGCAGTAGCTTACCCAGTAACTGTACTTTGTTCTCTGGACTCTGAACCAGGACAGAGCTGACTGAGTCCAGATTGTCATAGTTGCTGCAGCCCAGTGGACCAGTCCTGGTCTCTGTGACCTAGAGAAAATGGGACAAGATATGGACTCAGAAAACAAGAGGAAGGTTTCTATTGACACTTTCCTTCTACCATCCACATGGAGACTCTATGTCCTGTTCCTGACCAAAGGAACTTCATTCGTCTACCCTAGGAAGGCAAAGTGACTTTGTTTCCTTGTCCTGAGTCAGTGAACGTTGTTTCTATGTGGATGGTGGCAAAACTTGCATGTGATCCAGAGAGTAGCTCAGAGGGGAGCAACTTCCTGTATAACCAGTAAGTTGGATATGCAGTGAGACCTTCAAGTTGGTGTCTGCCAACTGGAAGGAGATAAGGGGCCAGAGATGGTCCTGTTAACTTGTCAGTGAGCCAGTTGTATCCACTTGATGAGGTGCTCACAGGTTCTGGAGCTCCTGAAGGTGAAGAGCACTAGTAATAGAAATATGAGTAGTTATGAATATTATTGTTAGAATTAAACATTTTAAGTCCACCTCAACATCGAAATGTCCTTAGAAAAAATCAGCTATGGTATTATTGCATATTTTAGTAAGTGTATTAAATAAACTCTTACAGCTATGTAATATTCCAAACACCATCTTTTAAAATATTATAAAGTTGGCCCATCAGTTTTCCCTGATGTTTAAAGTGTAAGATGAAAAATGGGAAGCTAGAAATTCACTGAAATAAGTATGCAATAAGAATGATGGGGAATGGAGGCCCTTTCTTCTCAGGAGCTCCAAAGTCCTTGCCAACAATCCATCAACCAATCAAGTATTTATTGAGCAGCCCCTGTTCAATCCCACACAATTCATCAAACATTCATGGAGTGCCTTTCTGGAGCTTTTCTGGATTCTACTTGGTATTGCTGACCTCTTCTTGTAGCTCTTTGCACCTGTGCTTTACAGCAGGCACATGGGCTGCCGTTTTGCATCCTTTCCTGAGAGGATTTGGTTCTCACCTGGTTCCCGTGCTAGAGTCTCTACAGAGGTATGCTCATACTTATTTTGCTTGCTGCAATATCACAAGTTAGCAGTGAACCTGAGAATGTATGAGTAATGCATTCTAGTCTTTTCAGGAATGTAGGCACAATGATATATAAGCTATTTAATGAGTCATTCAAGGAGGCAGGTAGATTACAAATGAGGGTAGACATCCAAGTTGCGCCCAAAGGATGTGTCACAGGAAGCACATCCCTAGGCAGAGGGAAAACAAAAAGAGCAGAGGAAACACCACTGATGCTTGCCTTTAAAGCTAATTAGAAAGTAGACATTAGAGGAGTTATGGGAAATAAATGTGTTGCAAGAAGAAAACTTCAAAAAAGAAAGGCACTGGGATCTACAACTCAGATTCCAAAGTACATAGGTACATGTCTGGCTCTTTAAGGAACCCAAAATGGAGGAGACATCACTGAGGGACTCTTAGTTACCTAGGCTTAGAATATAAAGAGAATAGAGTTGTCATGTGGGAGATAGGATGATACCACAAGCACTGGGAAGGGAGTCAGAGCTGATACTGGGAGCCTAAATCATCCTTGAAAAGTGAGTAGGTATTCAAGCGAACTTGTGACAGTTTAGTGGCTCCAGGAAAGAAGTAAGAAGCAGCATCATGCACAGCATCTGTGAGCTAGCCGGATGCAGTCCAAATGAAGAACAGGATCACAACCACACCAGGAGCAGGGTGACTCTCCAACTTTTGTCCCAGTGAAACAAAATGTTCCCAGGGCTCTCAGAACCAAATCTCAATCCTCCCATTCTCCCAAAAGGAAATCACAGTCCAGAGAGTAGAGTGGCTGGGCTGGTGGTATCTGAAAGACAGAAAAGTCTTAAAGATTGATTGATGATTGATGATCTATTGATTTTGAGATAAGGTCTTACTGATAGGCTGACCTGTAAGTTATGGTGTAACTCACCCTGTCCTTATAACAATTCTCCTGCCTCAGCCTCCTAAGTACAGAGATCACAGACTTGAGCCAAAATTAATTAATTAATTAAAATTAACGTTGGAGCTTTCAGACTCTAGGTCTGTGTCATTTCAGTTCCTAGAAAACAGGTCAAAGGGCCGTAGGAAGTAAAATGAACTAAAGCCACCTTGAAATGTTATCACTTCGTAGACAATATTCTAAAGAGAAGAGTTCAGATAGCATCACACTGTGCTAGTGATCTGCTCTCCTCAGAAGGCTCACACTGTGTAAAAACGTTGTAATGACTGGAAGTTAGTATTACTATCTGTTGGGTCTTGAAAGTCTCACTCAGTACCTGTGGCTCCTCCCAGCACTTTTCACCCCGCCCTCTAGCTCTCTACACTACACCTCTCCCTACAAGGGGAAGGGCCTCCATATCACTTCCCCCAGCTTCTCTTCCTTACATAATTCAGCCATTGTGGCTATGTTCCTCCTGGTCCATGCACTCTCTTGGCTCTCTTAGCCTGCTCATGACCTCTTGGTCCTCAGCTTCTCCCACCACCTTTCTCCCCTTCCTTAGTTCTCCTCTCCCCATGGCCTGGTTCAGTCTTCTGGGCCACTTCAGTCTGGGATGTTCCAGATGCCTCTGGCTGTTTTCTTCCTCATATCTACAATAAACCTTCTCCTAAAACATACCCAGGAGTCATCATGTCCTCAACTTTTCTTTCACTATTTTCCTATCAGAGATTAAGAAAACCAAGTCTAGACAAGTTAAATGACCAACTCAATATCATATATGTTGTAGTCTAGGGGACCAGGATGAATTCAATGTACTCTTGCATTGCTTTATCCAGCCAGTATCACCTCACAGATGAATGTGACAGTTTCTGCCCGTATGGCAGTTGTAGACTGGTGGAAATGTTTCCAGAATCCCAGTATGCTGGTGGATCTTCTTGAGCTAGCCTCTCTTCCTACGTAGACATTATGTATGGAATAATTCTTACTGAGCAAGTGGTTGGTTAGTTGGTTTCCCAGACTAGACTGGGAAAACACAGCCAGAATTACTTCAAGGCTAAGTCTTCTCTTCTCATAGCACTCCCGATAAGAAGAGCCAAGAACCAGTACGATTTAGTGGAACCTTTGTGAGTGGGCTGGGCTGAACACCAGGTTGGGGTGGCATGCTATAGTATTGAAAAAACTAGCTTGTTCCTACCTCAAGGTAAGCTGTTCACCACAATATCACTAAGTTGTATTCTGGATTTTCCATCTACCTACTCCTGAGCTGGTGACTCACCAACTAGCTTCAGACAGATAACAAGCTGTGGTGTGTCTGGAAGGGCAGCTCAGAGAATAACCACAATGGAGGTGTTCTCGGTCTTTCTCTGTCTCCCAAGCTTTTGCCTACCCAGCACTCATTTACTAATCCATTTACTTCCCACCATCATTTTCCCATACTGAGGCTGGCGGTCATCTTCTAATTCCCATACTGAGGCTCTCTCTCTCTCTCTCTCTCTCTCTCTCTCTCTCTCTCTCTCCCTCCCTCCCTCCCTCCCTCCCTCCCTCTCTCTCTCTCCTCGCTCCCCTCCTCTCTCTCCTGGTCCAAATGTCAGTTCCACAAGAAGATAATCAGTCAGGTCAGTTTCTGAGAAGAGGAGCATCTTTTTGTTGATTGTGATGCAGGACAAGGATGAAGAGGAGATACCCTGGTGTCATACCCATGTCCTGATGGAGGGAAGAGTGGCAAGCTAGATCTTCAAGAAGAAGGCTTGCTCATACTTCACCAGATAACAAAGTCATAATTATTTTTTTTTTCTAATCTGTTCCGATATCATCTCTCTTCTCTCTGGATAGGCAATGAGATAGAAAGAGGAAAGGGGCCTGGAAAGGGTCTCCATTAGACATTGTTAAGCACCAACTTGAGTAATAGTACACGCTGATGTATAGCCCTGCTCCCATCCATGAAACAAAAGCCCCTGTCTCTGACGGGCAAGCCAAGACAGTCCTGCAGCTCTTTCTGTAAAGGGGCCAGTAGCTCTGGGAGATTATTAAAAGGGCCTATAGAGGTAACAGAAAGTGCAATTCACTCAGGCATACACATTTCAAAAAGTGCCTCAGATAAGCTTTCAGAAGGGGAAAATAATTGTGTGCTAATTGGTCTGTTGACAGAGACCATCCTGCCTTCAGAAAGCCCTGATGTATCTCAGGTTCATTAGCGTGTCCAATTTTCCATAATATCAGACTGTGCAAACCATCATTCCAGTGAGCCTATGCTCCTCCCCCCTCTCTCACTTCTAAATTGCTACTGCCCTACGGGGGGGGGGGATGGGGCAGGAACACCTGCAATGCTAACAGCAGAGGAAAATAGGCTTCTAATGGTGAACGATGGGGCTTAGCATGGAAGCACAGCGAAGGTGTGTGTGCTTAAAAAGGCTTCCAAGTGAATCGCAGACCACAGGATGCTGTAGATTTACCATGTCCTTTCTTCTTCTTCTTTTAAAGGATGGGCTCTAAGAAAATCTCCCCTGGCTGGCTTCTGACCAGCTCTGTTCAGTCCACTCACGGGCTTTTCAATCCCTCCTCACCAAGTCCTTCCAAATCCTTCTACCAAGGAGGTGAAGTATAGCTATCAAAAAGGCCCTATCTTTCCTTCATGGTGCTGATCCCTTCTAGGAAATTACAGGCAGATATATATGCATATAACCATTTATTCTTTGTACAGTTTTCCTGAGGATTGTAATTATCTGGTGTAATCCTAACATGATAGTAGAGTAGGCAGGGATGGCAATCATTATTTTTATCATCATGTAGACTATAAGGGCAGTAGCTAATTGGTAGAGATGCCAGCCTTATTATCTAGAAGGCATCCAGAGAATTCCTGAGGTGCATTTGCCCTTTGGTTGTCACAAAAAATAGTCTGGAGGAGCCAGGGGGCAAGAGTGACTATGGTTAGGGGCACAAGAAATGGACTGAAGGATATGGAATTATTTCAATGTTTTAGAAACAGGAGTAGTCATATTAGTTGAAGGTCCTGTGTATAGGTGAGTTAAGTGGTTGGCAACCCTGATAATGGAGGAGAAAAATGGAGTTCAATGACTCCTCAAGGCCATAGACACAGCAGGCATCGGGGTTGAAACCCAATCCCAAGTATTCTCGCTCCACGTGGTTTGTTTCCCTCTAAACTGTGTAGCCTGATTTCAGCTCTCAAGCATTTTATTGAACATCCTGCCACGTGCCAGATGCTGTAAAGGGATGTACATGCAGTAGAGTCCCTTCTGCTTTAAGGCCCACTGTCACAGTGGGTGTGGGGAGGAGGGAAACAGGCATGCAAACAGACGGAATGTAATGTGACAAATCCTATCTTAAAAGTGTGTGCTGATCAGGGCAAGCCTCACAACACAGAGTGATGTTTACTGGCCCACAAAGGAATAAACCAGAGAGGGCAGGGCACCTGCTTCTCTTCATTGATGCAAAGAAGTTACTCAGGAAGACTGAAAAGCCACCACAGGTTTGCTTAGAGAAACAACACAGACAAATGTGCTAGAGGATGTTTCTTTCATGAAGGCAGAGCAGGTGAGCAGAGCCCTCACCTCACTCCATTCATCCCCAACCAGTGATGTAGTAATGAATGAGATGGATCCCAGCAAGACTACTCCTAAGGCATGCTCAGTAGAAGGAGGCAGACGGCAACTGCTACTGCACAGAGGATTGTTAGCTCCAAGGATGTGCCGCGGGTGTATCTTGGCTATTGGACTATCCCATATAGGTCTATAAGTACTAATCATTTAGAGTGAAGTGGTGGAATCTGTTGACAGCAACTCTGCAGATCAGACCCAGCTGGTGAACAGAGCTGTGAGAAGGGATACCAACACAGCCCTTTGATCCTTAGTCTAACAGAATGCCCTTGAAATCTATACACCTCACTAAATACCAGGAAGCATGGAGATGGGAGAAAATATGAAACCATCCCTCTTAATGCATGGTTTTCTGAGTTGTAGCCAATAGAAAGAACCTATTTGTACTCCCAGAGAAAACCTCAGGGCAGTTGGTGCTGTGGGAACTGGTTAATTATTTCACAGTCAATATGTCCCTGGACAAGTTCCAAAAGAAGGTTTCCAGGGATCATGGTCCCTTCTCTGAGGAGACATGCAGTGGCTGTAGCTTTGGGACCATCCACGGGCATTATAAGAGATGCAGCTTTGAATACTTACTGTCTTTTACTCCTCCATTATAAGGGATATGTCTAGGAATGCATCTCAGCAACTCTATGAACAACACTGCGTGTATAAGTGGAAAGTCAACTCTGAACCAGTCACTTTTTCTGAAGATAACTGAGAATTAAATGAAGACCCACTCCATTAAAAGGATCTGATTGTTGATGATATAAAATTCAGCTAATTAATACCTAAGGATTAAGCCCATTCTCAATTAATTAAGCCCATTCTTGATATCTAGGATATTAGGGTTTGACAATGAATGAGGGTGTGGTCTCTGCACTGATGACAGATAAAAAAAGGAAGATGGCTCTGCAGAAAAGGGAGGCTTCTTGTAACCCCAAGCCATGGGATTCAGGAAAGTCTGATGAACAGAAAAAATAATTCTCAAACAAAAAGAATTGGATTATAAAGCAGGCAAGGATTTTTAAAAAATAGAAACATGTATCCAAAGGAGTATGCTGAGAGCCTGATCAACCTTTTCCAAGCTACAGATGTCTGCAATAGATTTAGTGCCTGAACTTACAGAGCTCTTAACAAACCATCTTTATGCTTAAATGCCTTCAATAGAGGGCTATTTCTGTCAACTAAGTATATGCCTAGGTATATGTATGTGTGTTAAGCAGATTTCTCTGACACGTGAAAAATGGTGGGTTCAGAGACAGATGGACAGACTTCATTCATTTGTTTGTTTTCTAGTTCCTTCCTTCATTATTTGACATTTTGTTTACTCACTACCCACAAGGTGGCAAGCTCTGTACTCTTCTAGAAAGCTGCGTGAGACCCAGTTTCTCCTACAAGGATCTTTTAGTTTCCTGTGTATATAGTCATGTCAGCTAGCACCTAGAGTTCAAATAACAAGCTCAGTAATGGAGCGATGTGCTTGGAACATTGAAAAGGAGATTTAGCTATGTTAGGAATCAGGAAAAGCTTCACAGGAGTCACTTTTCTGAACTGAGCTAATAAGGGAAGGAAGAGACACTTGGGGCAAAAGTCAGATATTGGGAGTACAATAGAAAGCAAGTGCCAGGCAGTGACACGTGAGAAGATACAGTGTTCTAATAACATCTGGTGCTTGGGTATGCCTAGGTTACATGACGTGAGTGGAGGCTAAAAAGTGGATGGTTAGAGAGAGATGAAACTAGAAAGACAGCAGGGGCAGATAGTCAATAATTTTGTTTTGTTAAGAACAATCAGCCCTTTCAATCTCCAACTGTGTTATGCTCTGGGCAATCTGTGCATTTTCTTATTAAGTATCACAGAATTTCTTCAAGGTTGAAAACTCTTCTAGTTATTTAATGATTTTAGAGAGAGGAAAATGAAGTCCATATAAATGTGGTAACTTGTTCAATACCCGATTCATTCCCAGTGGTAGGATACAGATTCTTGGAATAGAGCCTGTTTTCCTTCTGTTTCATCACATTGGCACCCTTCTCAGGCACACAGATTTGCTCTGGGTGCAGTTAGAACCATGGAATCAGGGGACACTAGAGTATATGCTCATGTTCACAGTAACAACATAGTATAAGTCAGGCGGAGGAGCTGAGAGAGGAGGGCACGAAAGCATTATGAAAGGAAATCAGGTACCTGATGACAAGGACTTGGATTAGGGGACCCCATGGGAATTCAGGGGTAGGAAGGAATGGTAGCGATGGATCAATGAATCTAAGTTAGGGTGTGCAGAGAATGGGCTACTAGAAGGTAATGAGATCTTTGAACTGTTGATAAAATATCTGTCTTTCATTTCCTGGTAAGAATTTTGTGCTTCTTCTCCAGCTGTGACACAGTTCATATGAGACTGAAGGATGAGGGGAAATTCTACAAAGTTCTAATATCTTGGTAAAACTCTCTCCAGGCTACTTAGAGTCCCTTTCCATCACTTTGAGGTGCACTAGATACCAGCTTCATAAATGAACCTTTTCATTCTGTTAATGGAAACCCATTCTCTTCTCCTGGATGCTCCCTCCAGACACTGTACCCCTGTGATGTGTTACTTTTTCTTTTCTTCAGTTAATTTCCATCATGCTCACTGTACGATGACTAGTCCTCAGCAACATCCTTATAATGGCAAGCTCTTCTTAAGAGTCCACTTCACCTGTTTTGATTTAACTACAGCCTCCCTTCCCCAGGGATGTAGTTTTTCTAGTGGTGGCTGTTTCTTTCTCACATCTCATGCTCTTGAGCATGGACACGAGGCAGATCCTTCACTGCAATTCTTTATTATCTAGCTATCTCTGGCTCCTGGAAGCCAGAATCATCCTGCACTGTACCCCACTGTCCCTGCTTGATATTTATTGTCTTACTATACTTCTTGGCTCACTGAGGATTTACAGCAGTGAACAACTGTTACCAGCAGAAACCTGTACCATTCCTACTGACTTCTGCTCCCATATGTACAATCATTTAACTTTAGTTCCTCTAAGGTACTTGCTGTCTTACCTTGCTTCCTCATAGTTATAATCTCATCTTAGGCACTACACCCATGCTATGTCCTAGACTTTATTGCAAACTGCATTTCCTCTATAGCTGCAACAAAAATCCATCACTTCCTCCCTTTTTACTCATGGCCATACTCAACACAATCCCCTTTTAAGGCATGTGTGCTTGCTCTCTGGAGTCCTTCTGCTCGAGACACACAAATCACTCATTTCACTCAGGCTCCTCGTGAAGAGATATTCCTTCAGCCCCAGCACACCCTGGCCTCTTACTTGGTTTCATTTCTCACACCACCATTTCACATTGTCTTTGCATTTATTTGTAGGTCCACTATTTGAACACAAGCTTCATGAGTGCAGAGGCTTTTATGTTGTTTTCTTGTATCTGAAATGTAGTATCTGATATGAGCTGAGCACTCAAGATATACTTGCTGAGTTAACTGATGAGTAAACAAAATCCCCTTGCTGTTTTCTGATGATACAAAGGTAGAACGTGGATTTGACGTCTGTAGACCATTTTAATTTTATAACTAGAATTTTAAAACCCCAGTATTCCCAAAAGTGTTATTAGTCTTTTGTTATCCAAAGGATTCTTAGTAGAAATGTTCTCCAGGTTAATTAGAGTTGTGTGGTAGTAGTGGTGTGGAGGGCGTAGCTATTAAAGTCACATCCACTATGGATTCCTTAAAGACACGCATGCCATCATGAGATTCTGCCATGATCCTGCTAGAAAGCATCCTTTGCCTTGTATTAACGTTCCTTTTTGTGGCCATGCCAACGAACTCCAGCCTTCTTCAGAACCTCATCTTGTAATATGTCTTCATAGTGTATCTGTTTCCCTCTCTGCCCTCACAGGACTCTTCTCAGCACTTCAATGGGCACTAAGTTACTTCCTAATTTTGGCCTTAGCACTTAGCATTTGACTTTAAAAAATAAAAAAACCGGAAACAGCCTTCCTCAGTTCTACATGATCAGGCTTGTCTTCTTTCAGGTCTCAGCCTCTCAGGATAAACCTTAAAGTTCCCTTGCTCACCAGTCTAACTAATGCTAGCAATCCTGCACCCTAGAAAATGTATACCTTGTCTTTAAATGGCTATGTGAAATCACCTTCTCTCACTCAGCAGTTCAATCCCACCAGGATGCAGTCATACCTATCTTTGGCAACAGCTAATCAGTCTGCTGGCTAGATGTTCCTTCAGAGGGTGGATGATGCAACCATTTGTAAGGACTGGTTGAGACGACACCAGAAAGCAACTGTTTCCCTTTGCTCAGTGTGGCCTGGCTGACCTGGAGCTAGCAGAGGATTTGGCTTCCCCATTACCTTAATAGCCCCTGTGGCTATCTGGATATGGTGCAGTCGGCGTAGTGTGCTCTCTCTATCAATGAAGTAGGAAGCTGCCAGCTGGTGCAGGGTTTCCAGGGACACAACAGAGCTGTTCCCACTGCCCCCAACTACAGGGGCACCTCCTGATGTTTCTGCCTTTCTGCTCAGTTTCCTCTTGTCCACAAAAATGGTCAGGGATTCTTCTCCTATAACAAAAACATGAGCTCATTAGAGAGGTTGTCAGTTCCAGAATCCCTGGCCATTAAGAACCTGTAGCCCTCTGGCAGGGCAGACCCAGCTAAGAGAGAACACTGCCCCTGCTGTGGGCCTCTCCCCATCATTTCCACTTTGAGAGCTCTCTCCTCAGACTGTGCACAGGGTCACAGGGCTCCCTGCCTGGAAGGCCCTCCTTTCCCTAGCTCTTAAAGCTTCCCAAAGCTCACCCCGCAGCAGCGTCTCCATTTAACATCCTCTATTGATCTCCATCGCAGGCAATCTGCCTCCAAGGGGGAGACACAATTCTCCCCTCTCAAGTTGTTTATGAGAAGCCACATGGCTATTATTGCTTCCAGGGAAAGGGCAAAAGCTTTGAGGCCCTGCCTGGTCCCTCTCCATCAAACACTCACCAGCTACCACATGCCAGCAGCTGGTCTCAACCCCAGGGGAGCTGCGTTTTTGTTCACTGCACACTTAACTAAATGTTATGATAAACTCTGCTTTCTTCTTCCCATAGCTGGGAGAACTCTGTATGGCCAGGTCTTGTAATTCTGTCCAGAGTCCCCGCGCCACTGCATAGCCCAGTCCCTACCCCCATTCTACCAGAGGGAGATCCACCATGCTGTTGGAATTGTGGTTTGGCTGGTTACCAGTCCTTACAGTGAGAAAGGAGGGGGTCAGTGACTCAACGAACATCTATCTGTTTCTGTGCCTATAGATGTGACATTTGTAGCCACAGTTAGAATTAAGAAGTGGAGAAGTCCCTGGGTTAAAAGGCTAGTCAAAATAAAAGTAGGAGCGCCCCCTGCTGGTACATGCTTAGTAGAAACCCATGTGTCCACCCCAGCCTCCTGACCCCATACCCCTTTCCCGTTTTTATGCCACTTTCAAGAGAATAGAAATGTTCTAGGGTGGTTTTGGGTGCAGAGAGAATACACTGTGTTTTGATACACCAGAAAGGATAAAAGATGCAGGCAGAATGATATTAACAGATCGTAAAAGCTATTTCAGCAATGGAACAACCAGTTGGCTGGGGCTGAGGATGCTACTTACCTCCGAGAGTGGCAGAAAGTAAGAAATGAGTGCCGTACTTTTTGATGAGGTTTTCAGTAACCTGTTGCAGGTTGGGTCTCCGTCCGAGGAGGCGGATGTTGCGGACAAACTCTGGGGCGAGAGGCAGGGGCAAACTGAAGAAGTCTTTCCTTTCCAGGGCCAAGTTGTTCACTTTCCAACGGGCAAACTCCCTGCAGGGAAATCCACTGTATTTCAGAACAAGAAGTGTGAAGACTGAAAGAGATAAGGTGATTCCTCAGCTGGAGGCCTCCTCTCCTCAAGTCCCCTTCTCAAAGTCTGGAAAGCTGACCTGCACCCAACTTTCCCATTGGACAGTGGTAGCTCAGTGTCTTCCCAAGATAGTCGCCATGCCTCACAGAGAAGCAGAAAAATCACAGACTGGGCACTGGCAGTGATTTTCAGAGAACTGATCCTGCCACAGCTGTCATACAGCCGATGAGTTATGTCATCCATCTTAGCTTCAGTTGCTCACTGCTAAAAACTGGAAGGAGGATCTAGAGAGAACAATGTTTTAACATTTGGGACTGAGATCACTTCATACCCTTGGAGATAATTACATTCCCCTACTTACTTATGCAGCTCATATCGATTGATACCACATCAGAAATTAAAACTGAAAAGATTAAAGTTATCTATCCAATATTGCATTTGATGTTAACAGTAATAAACCAAATACATAACACATAACCAAATCAATGAGCTTTATGACAATTACTATAGGTAGTGAACAAAACAGATTTGACAAGAAGAGCACATTGCTTGTGACTTTGTAAATCTTTCATATCTGCTCAACAGGATAGTTTCCTTCTCATGTTTGCTTCTACATTCAGTGTGCCATCGCTATTGTGGACTCTTATGCTTGGGGCCACACTAAACTAAAGAAATGATTGTTTCTTAAAAGTTACTTATATAACATGGTGTTTGATACCATATTAATAAATGTGTACTCTACTGCATTGAAATCTAAAATTTTATATTGCATTTTGAACAGATCTTTTTGCCCCACATGATCAGTAACAGCATGCATTAGCTATCCTGGACATATCTGTTCACGGAGATACGCAGCTCTTTTAACATCCAGGCACTTCATTATACAGTACTAAAACATCAGACTAGAAAACACCATTTACAACTGCATCAGAAGTACCATTAAATATCAGGAAGCTGACTAGTTTATATAATAATGAATATAAATTTTTAGAATTTTATTTTTGCTAATAAATAACATGTTTTCCTAGTTTTTAGTTGTTCTGCTAGTAAATACCATCAGGTTAAAAGCTAGCATTTTTTTGAGAAAACATCTGCCAAACACTTAAGTCTAAATAACTATGGGTTGCCTGCTGTTCTTGCTTTCAAGATAAATAGGGCTCTAGGAAAAAAGTTGCTTGCTCAGCTTGTAGCTCAACCACATATGTATCTTCCCTTGGGATGACCACAATCCTTTAGTAGCCTCAGATATGCTATGTGTGTGATTCCCATTTCATCACCTGGAACATTAAAAAGACATGTATCCAAGGTCAATATTTAATGCTAGTAATAAATCGTACTGCTTTAGAATATTCTTAAGTAAGGCTGGCATATTCTGTCTCTCTCTCCTTTCTGCTTGTGTGTGGGTCTATGTGTTTAGTTCATTTGTATTATGATGAACAACACATGATTACCAGATAAACTTTAGATGAGTATTTTCATTCCAATTAACACATCAGTTTTCTTTGCCTCCCCACCTCCCAACTTTCAGTGCAAATATCAAATGGGTCCTGAAAGGAACCAAGAAGACCACATTTTAAGCAGCCTGTTTAAAAACATATCTGGGTTTCTTTACAAACACATCTAGGATTTTATTCTTCATGATTTGCTCCTCTTTGACCCATTTGGATCTCAAAGAGGAAAGACTTCTAGGTGGAATCTTTGTCTTGAGCAGTAATTTAAATAATTCTAAGAAATCAGTTTCTCATTCCCCACCCAACCCCATATTACACTGGTAAAAACCGGCCTTCCTGTCTTGGGAAGCAGTAAGATTTACAGTCTTCATAGATCCCTCACTCATCCCAATCCTGCTCATTGTAAAAAGTGAATAACCTTGATCTAACCTTCTGCTCAAAGGCAAGGAGTGCCAGTGATATAGCTGCAGAAAATAAGTAAAAATAAATAAATGAAAATCCATGCATAATCTAAGCCTGTGGAAGTCTCCCCCAACCCTATCTAAGTCAAGAGGTGCAGATATGGAGGAGGACCATATGTCAGACATCACTAGGAACAAAGGAAGATGGTGACTAATAATTCATGGTTTCAACTTAGACTTTCACATTTTTCATTGTATGGCTTTATTTATCGAACAAGGCAAGTTAATAATAATAGATCATCAGTTATTTCTTTTGTGCAGGAAATGTAAAACTTTAATTAAAGTACAGGGTATTTGTCAAAGGCATTTGCTATCCCAAATCCCAGTGAAGGGTAAAGAACAGTTGCCTGATCTCATTTGTAGATGGCTGGATGGGAACCAGTATCCTCTCATTGGCTAGAGGATAATTACACTGATGAATCATAAAACCAGATTACTAAAAACAGAAACAAAATATAATAAAGAGAAAACCCCTAGGGTTATCAAATCCGGCTCTCTGCCTTGGGATGAACTACATGTAGACTTCATTAACTAATACTTCTGACCAGTTCTCTTCCTACATTCAAGGATAAAGAGAAGATATTCTTCCACCTTCCATCATTTCTTAAAATGGTTCAAACCCATCACTTTCCTTTTCTGACCATCTCATCCAGAAGGTTGTCTTCCCACCCTCACTCTCTCTCTCATTTATTCCCTTAGATTTATTATCACCTAATATCATCTATTCTCCCTCCTTCTTCTCCCATTAGAATATGAACTCTGCCAGGGTAGGATTATCTTCCCTGCTATTGACTATCTCCAACAGAAGAATCATATTAACTATTTTTACAACAGAACAACAGTAGATATACAGTCTAGTTTTATTAAGTAATTGAAGGATACATTCTCCATGCCTTTTATGTCATAGCTTTCCCAATCCACTAGTTTTTTCAAATTAATGGAAAATTGATTAAAAAATAGTTATAGGAAAATAACCTAGGAAGAAACAACCAATTAGTGATTGATCTGACATGAAATACTCAAAATGTATGTGCTTCATATGAAGCTGTTTTGTTTATAAAAGTACATGAGATAATTTTGTGCATTTAAAAAATATAAATCAAGCCAGGCATGAAGGCATGTATCTGTAATCTCAATACTCAGGATGTAGAGGTAGGAAGATTGCCACAACCAGTATGGTCTACATAGGCCAGTCAGGATTACATAGTTAGAGCCTATCTCAAATAAATAGTAAAACATTGCCAGAAAATTATTTTGCTTTTTCCTTTTATACTGCCTGGATTCTAATACACTGTCACAGACATGGACAGCTTCTGGTGACTGCCCACATTCAAAGCCTAGCGCATGCAAAACATTCATTGTGCCTTCCACTCAGATGTTAGTGATCAATGGCTTCATTCCTCTACGGTGAATCTAGTAATTTCTACCACTCATTGTGTTAAAGATTGACCAAAGAAGCAACATGCTTAGCGTTCTGCACTTTTGCTCAGTTTGACATCAGCCTTGGAAACTCTGTTTAATGCAAGTCAATAGCTAAAGAATGTTTACTTCAATGAGGAAACTGAAACTCAGAAAGCCAAGTGATTGCCTAATGTCACACTACCAGAGAGGATTATTCTTTTATTCTGTTAGAAATGGAGGGAAAGTTTGAGTGTCATCTGCCAGTCTTCTCCAGATTATGATATACATTGAGGAAGGAGGATTGTCATGGATTCTGGGGTAGGATAAGCTGCAGTGTCAGATTCTGTCTCGAGAAGATGGAAAAAAAGAGAGGAGAAAAAAGGGGAGAGAGGGGAGGGAGGGAGGGGGAGAAAGAAGGGAGGAAGGAGAAAAGAAGAAAGCAATCAAGGGGAGAAAACACTCTTTAGTGTCCTGGATGATGATGCTCAGAGCAGGATAAATCTGAGAAAGAAGTCCTGCCACCTTAGTACTTGCCTTGCTGTTTTTAAGACTGGGGAAGCCTTTGACTTATCTATGATTCATTTGTAGCTGACCTGGCTTCCAGCATGCACTGTGACTAAGAAAACCATGAGACAAAGACGTCATAGTTTACCTAAAGGAATATAACCCAGCTGGTAGCAGAACCTGAGTAAAATGATATCACGGTGATCTTCCCCAAGGGTCACTGGGCCAATAGCAAGAACTGAAACCCCAAAATGTTAAAGGAGTAACTTGGATGGAGTCACACAATTAGAGAGAGGCCAAGCTTAAATATCAGTGCCAGTGGCTAAGGTCAATACTTCACTGCTTTCCACAATTTTGTCTTCTTTTTTGCCCCTGAAGTATGCACTCATGGTATTCCAATTCCGTTGCAAAGGTAGCTGTCTTCTAACAAAAATAATGTTATTACTAAGGGCATGGTATTTCTGTAATTACTACACAAAACATGAGTTTAACATATATTCAATGTAGTATGCCATTTATGCTACAGCAAAATCTTTCTTTGGATTTAAGTGGTTTCATGATGCTCCTTTGTAGGAGAAGAAATTGAGCTTGAGAGGAAACCAAGTTCATATACAAAGCATCATGGGAATAATCCCAAAGATCTGACTGAGTCCAACTTCCATGGGTGCTCAGGAAATCCTAACACAGAACAACAAATTACCTAGAAAAGTGAATGGTATTGTTTTAGAAAGCATTTTATGAACAAACAGACAAAAAATGACGAATGTTTAATGAATTCTTACCTTGTGCTAAGTTTCTTACAAGGGTTATCTATAAAATGTCCTTATTAGGAGGAAAAAAATTACTTTCATCCTGTGGATAATGAAATGGAGGCAGGATATTTTAATTTACCCAGCTGGTAACAGCCAGTAGGTGGCAGAATCAGAGTTGAAATATTGCTAGTTTTGACAGGACATTGTTTGAGCACTGTGATATGGTACCTCTGCCTGAGAAAAGCAAAGGAGATGTTCTAACTTGGAGAGGAGAAGCATGGAGGGAGGAGGAGGAAGAGAGAGGTTTGCTGGACAAATAATGCATAAGGACGGAGACTTAATGTGAAGCATGTGATCAGAGAAGCTCACTGGAGGTAGAATTCATAGAATG